CCATTGTGGGAAAATTCTTGTTCTACCAGTCCTTTATCACCTTAAACGAAATTGGGTGAATACATCTCATATTAATATAAAATAGTTGTAATGATAACCAGACGTATAAAATGGATGATCGCAAATTAGGAAAGAAAAACACGTCTTGTATAAAAGGTACATTGATAATAAGAAGCACAATTTAAATGTAGAAAAACTAGATTTAAAAAGAATCCCTTAATAGATTCATAGTGAAGTACCTTTCAATTCGTTTGAAGAGACGAGTGGAAGGGATTCGTAAGTTGGTTCCACAGGAGGCTATGGAGGAGGGTTGCCTTGGAGATGCAGTTGTAGATTTGTGTGAATATGTCCTCGTCGACCCTGATGAATCCTTGCTGACCTTTCCTCTATCATGTGATGCACATTGTCAGAACAGGACACCATGCTTTACGATAATTCATCAAAAACACGAAGGCAGCAAAGGCGCCCGGCTTCAAATATACTTACTTCTTATATTCCAATTTGGTCCACTTATGCATCTCATGTCCTGTGCTTTGCCTATATGTTTGCTCATAAGTTAAGTTAAGTGGCTGCGAATGACATGTGGAGTGGCGGCAGATGAAGCGTGTAATGGGTGCAATTGAGACTAAACAGCTGCATCCTCCCTTAAAACCCGTATGCCTTTGATCCTGCAATGTTCCAGCATGTGATTGCGTCCAATCGCACACGTGTTGTGCGAGTGCATTGCTCTTGAAATGAGTGTAATGTAAGAGTCAAAACCAAATTCCAGCCTAATCAAGCCTTCTCCTCTTGTTCGGTGGTATTTCTCGTTCCCTCCTCTCTCTCTTTCTAAACCTTTCCAACAACCACAAGTAGTTTCCGCAACCCACAAATACAGATTTCCTTTTGAATCTTTTCTCCAACCACACTCATGGGGCTGAAGTAGGAGTTATGACGTCTATGATAATAAGGATCCTGCGTCTGGCAGATGTTAAGCATCGGGACCAGGAACTAAGAAGACTAAGGCAAATTCTGGTTGAGATTATTTATCCAGGAGAGCTGTTTGACAAAGATTTTAGAATATTGTTAAATAAAATGAAGGGAAATACATGTTTGGAGTTAGATCAAAAGATAGATCACTCTACCAGGATCCTTATGCTGCCATCATGTAATCTGTCGAAGAAAATAATCGAATTACTGAGAAAGTGTGACGTCATTACCATTTATTAAGAGAAAATAATCCTGTCCTTGGTATTGCCTTCTTTTCGCGGATACTCTGATCCGCTCTCCAGATCAGAAAATTGCAAGATTTTGTGATCATGTAGTAGTGCCCATGTGGGATAGATTTGTAGACCCATACATAATAGGTTATCCGAACACAAAACAGCCTGTAAGGGTATGTGGGTAAAAAAATCGGAATTGGCCAAACACATGGCTCGCATAGGATACTAGATAGATCGGTCTAATGTCAAAAGCTTAGCTGGATATGGAGACTATACCAGTAGGCGAAAGATTAGGAAGGCGATAGGAATCAACAAAGCAGCCAACACCCTGAATAGAAGTAATGAGTGTAAGAAGTTAAGCGGAAACTACTTGTGGCTGTTGGAGAGGTTTAGAAAGAGAGAGAAAAGAGGGGTACGAGAAGTACCACCGAACAAGAGGAGGAGGCTTGATTAGGCTGGAATTTGGTTTTGACTCTCACATCACACTCATTTCAAGAGCAAAGCACTCGCACAACGCGTGTGCGATGGGACACGTCACTCGCAGCCACTTAACTTAACTTATGAGCAAACATGTAGGCAAAGCACAGGACATCCAACTAAAACATGAGACGCATAAATTGACCAAATTGGAATGTAAGAAGTAAGTAGATTTGTAGCCGGACACCTTTCTTGTCTTCGTGTTTTTAATAAATTATCGTAAGGCATGGTATCCTGCTCTGACGATGTGCGTCACATGACGGATGAAAGGTCAGCAAGGATTCATCGTGGTTGACGAGGACATATTCACACAAATCTACAACCGCAACACCAAGGCAAACCACCCCCACAGCCTCCTGTGGAACCAGCTTACGAATCCCTTCCACTCGCCTCTTCAGACGAAGTGAAAAGTACTACAACATGAAGCTCACTTTGAATTCCTCAATTTTTCACACAATTTTTTGAAATTTTTAGTTTTTCAAGATCTAGCTGACATATTTTAAAACCTTTAATGGAAAATGAGTAATATCCTTATTATTTTTGATAAATTTATGATTTTTTGTCTAGGGTTGAAATTTGTAGAAATATAATACTCAACCATAACAATCAGTGCGTCCTTATGTGTATATGACCACGTCTTATCTAATTTAAGAATTCCCCTCTGATTGGATTAATGAGAATTGCTATTATCCTCAGCTAAAGGCTTTTGAAAACCGGTCATAATATCTTCCATTCTATATTAAAGGTTAATAGCAAAGTCAAGGATTTCTTTTCAGATTTTAATGAACGATGATTTTGCTGCTGTTTGAGTGAAGGGCGTTGAATAAAAATGCTAGACTATTCTTCATCCACTAACTACTAAAGTTGCTAATGCCACTTTATTTCCTGCGAGAACGTCAGAGAGTAAGTAAAAGTTCAGATGAACTTGCACAATGAGGGCTGGACAATAATAAGTAATAATAATAATAATTTATCACTTTTTTTTATTTTTCTGTTCCAGACAGATCAATATCTGTACCAGATATTCAATTATTTTCATGCGAAACCACAAAATGTTCATCTTGAAAATAATTTAAATGGAATTCAGGAAGACCTAAGGGAACGCACCTTGTCCAGAGTTCATTGTATGCATCATCATTTCCAGAAACGGACCGTGGACTTGGCACATTCCAAGACGTTTCGCCGGCACCGTGGTCGGCATCGTCAGTGAGCCTTGCCAGTCCTAGAACCACACTATTTCTCGTCAAAGAGACAAGTTTAGGCGATAATTTGACCAATTGTGTATTAAACACTTGAGGTGTCTCTCCTTCTGTCCTGGACTATTCACCTATCATATATCCTCATATCAAACCCTTCAATAGCACAATTTCTTACTTGTTCATCTTAATCTATTTGAAACCTATTCACGCTCCCCGCTGGTTTCCACATCCCTAATGCTGTGCCGTGAGTGTTAATCCAGGGCTGCGACTTAATCCCAAATCCTCTCCCTTTTGGTCCTATCCGCCTTGAGTAGCACGGATACGGTGGCAGCGATGGCGGGAAAGCACTGAAACAGCCAGCTAAGGGAAGGATGGTACGGCGCAAGAGGGGACTCTGATAGGACCCGAAGGGAGAGGATTGCGGAGGATAAATACTCGCGGCACAGTAGAAGGGATGTGGAAACCAGCAGGGAGTGTAAATAGGTTTCAAATAGATTTATATAAACAAGTAAGAAATTGTAATAATGATGAAGTGATACGAGGATATAGGACAGGTTAATAGCCCAGGACGGAAGGAGAGATAGCACAAATGTTTACCACACATTTGGTCGAAGGATCGGCCTCACTTGGTTCTTTGACTAGTTGTAGTGTGTTGCTAAGACTGGCAAGACTCATTGACGATGCCGGCGAAATGTCTGGGAATGTACCACGTCCATGGTCCGACTCTGGATATTATCATTCATACAATGGACTCCAGACTAGATGCTTTCCTCTAAGTCTTCCTACCAATATGATCAAGTTGTGAAAACAAGGTCAAACAATTTCTAAATTGAATTCAGTTTATCAGGGTTACTTTTTCATAAAGTGTAAAGTCAATGTACTGATATCTACTTTTGGAGAAACTGAGTGCTTTTAAAATTGACTCTATCCTTGAAAATTGTACTTGACTAGCTACTCATTGACAGAGAAGCCTTATGAAATAAATTGCACCTTTACTTCTCAATTCATACGACGTGGTTTTATAGCTTATTTGTACTGATGGCGAGAGCTTTATTAAATAAAAAATAGAATAAATCTCCCAACAATCAAGCCCTACCTTCAAAGCAACATGTATAACTCAAGTATTTGGTCTGGAATCGCACGCAGAGCCTACAGTAAGAATCTACTCTTTATCTCTTGCAGCGAATTATTCTCCGCTCATTTTTGCTATGCTTATCACGAATTTCAAGGACCAAG